TGACTGTATAGCCAATACATCCTTAAGGTACAGCCTTCCTGAAAAGTATTTGCACGCCGCCGTCCAATTATGGATCGATGAAGATAGAGGAGGCATTGAACTTAGAATCGTTTGTCATTATTACGTGGTTTATTGAAGTCTGACTGTAAGTATTGAAATGAAATATGAACTTTGATCAGCAGGTGCAAGTGCGCGCAAATACTTTTTGTAACCACTGTATTTAAAACTATGTAATAGAGAGAGAGAGAGAGAGAGAGAGAGAGAGAGAGAGAGAGAGAGAGAGAGAGAGAGAGAGGAAGAGAAAGAGAAGTAGTTTATGAATAGTTAAATAGTTCCTATGTACAACAGAGCTAATAGAGTTGGAGAGAAAAATTGGCTACAATTTTATAACAACGATTTCTGTCAATTTTACTTTAATTATTACAAAAAGAGAGATGATACTTTGAATAAACCTAGAATCGTCTCCCACTGGTCATCGTTTTAATCGAATCTGAAGTTTAAAGTGCGTCCAATAATAGCAGACCTGAAACATAAATTGCCTAAGGATCTCTCTTCTGATCGTTAAGGGATGTTTTCTTACGATTCCGCCATGTACGGAGCTTCGATATTAATACGAATGATTCATGAGTGGCTAAAAAAAGCCTTCAGTCGAGAAAAACCAAGTAGGAGCCGAGCTTTGAAGCCAGAGATCTTAAAGTAATTTAAAGAAGTACGCGCAGCGCCGAGATTAAAGGATCGCGATTGGACCCAGAACATTTGCATTTATTTTTTGTACTAAATAAAAACGTGATCTGGCAACTGGAAGATAGAGAGTTTTTTTCGTTAATTAGAAATAGACGTGTCAAAGGGTTGAGGGAGAGAAATTGTAAATGTTAATAGATTAGTCTGCAAAGTTCTATACAACTATTTTATATTATTTAATATTTGTAGATCGATATAGTTTTGCTCGAGAGGCCATCGTACTCGATTCGATCTAAGAATAAAACCTGGTCAGCTAGACTATTTGAGTATACTGTACTCGGCCATTGCTCCCGTGTATATCACATTTCACTGTATCATGTTTAGACAATATACAATTGTTACAGTTAATCTCGATCTTTTGCAACGAGCAAAATATTATTTTCATCTCACTCACATAGATTTTCGCGACGACTTTGCTATTATTATTACGTAAGTTGCATTCGGTGGATCGCTTATAGATATTAAGTAATAAAATAGAAATTTCGTATTCGTCGATATCAAATCTATCTTTTGTTCGTTTCACGTTCGTGGGAAATGTTCGAGGAAGAATATTTCTTTGTGCATTGCATTCCTTCGTTTGATGCCCTCCATTGGTTAATTTTCAAATAATGTTGAAAAATGCATTTAATAAAATCGTTCGATTTCGTGTAAAATAATATTTAGTCGAGAAATTAACGTGGCAACCGTAGCAAGTAGTCTTCTGTCAATTATTGTTAGTAACATTCACAGACAAGATTATACATATTGTTAGGACTTGTATATTCTTAATATTAAAAATGAAATGAAGAAAATGATGTACGATAAATATTATAGATCTGAATCTTCTAATCTTAAAATCTCCTCTGCTGGAAAATTTCGATGACTGAGACGATGGTCCTATTGTTAAACGTACAAATACTGCTCTGCGACAAACAGAGGAGAACGAGATTCATAATAGAAATTCTATTGTAATTGAAACTGTTCCATTCTTCATTTAATCCTTTCTGCACTCTATATTTCGTATTAACCTGGATAACATAGACGAGGGCCAAAGGATAAGTTCTTAATCGTTTTATACACCATCTGCGCTATCAGGGTTCAATTTGTACGAAAATTAATTCCAAACTTAAATTTCAAAGTCTGTGACTCGATCGGCTCTTATCGCTTTATATCTGATAAAGACGTTAAATGTAATTATTGACGTAAACCGTGGAAAAGGTGTTTCCTAAAATTGGCCTCGTTTCTACGAAATGTTAATTGAAACGAGTGAAAGAGTCTTGAGATATTATTAAAAGTTGACAAGTAAAATAATTATGATTTATGAGGACGAAACGATGTATGTTGGGCCAACGAGCTGCGGATCCATTCACCTTTTAGAGATCATTGAGGATAATTCGATCCAAGGGTACCCATAGGCAAATGTCAAGCACCCTGACACAGATTCCACAGATTTAAATTGCTTAATCATGGATTGAAAGTACGAGCTTCATAATAAATTCTGACGCGAATTCGTAAATAATAAATAACCGAAATAACGAGGGAATTATTTAATGTTCACATTAAACTGTAGTATAAAATTATTCTTTGTATTAATTATTATGCGTGGCGTTATATCTCTTCCGGTTTGCTCCAATTTCATTTAACATTCGCAATTCGTAGGAGCGCGTAATTACAATTCAGAATTTCGCTCGCAATCGGACGCGATGCAAATCGGGATTAGAAAAAGTAATGGAGACGTGAACGTTTTAAAATAATATTATTACTAATAATTGTAAGATAAGAGGAAGGGAAGATCTTTAAAGTAGAACATCGTATTCTTTCGAAATTTTATATAATCATTTTTTATTTACTCCTTAGTTATGTTACAGACATTGTTCGAATTCACAATGCGTGTGCTACGTTGACCACGTTAAACGAATTGAACATTTTTCAAATGATCCCTGAGCGTGCTTTCATTTTTTCTCATTTTTCACTCTTGGTCACACGTGTTGTATTCGTTGTTCAATACGTAGAATAATTTAAGGATTTATTGGCTATACAGTCAATCCCAAAAGTTTATACACTGTAGAAACGCATTTTTTAAAAAGAAATCAGACGTCGNAGATTATACATATTGTTAGGACTTGTATATTCTTACATTGGCAGAGGAACGTATAAAACTGATAAAAAGTTGAATGAAATAAAACACGTCAAAATGATGAATTAATGGGTTGGCAACTAAATAATTGCGTAGTTTGTGGATAGACTTCTTATTTAAAATCCGCAGTCATTTAGTTGCCAACCCAATATTATTAAATGAATTTATCTTTGTCGTCGTTTATCATTTTCAATTATATTAAGTATTTTAAAGTAATATTCATTTCTTATTCGTTTGAAATTAATAAGATTGCACGAGATTACCGAACTGCTATCGCGAGACAAATCAGAGTATATTAGCTGAACAAAGATAAATTCTTCTCGCATTAAACGCGAGTAGCTTTGTATCCAAAGACGATATCGGAGTTTTTACTGCAACAAGGATCCTGTTGATAATAATCCCTCTTCCCCTTATCACTGAAGATTTCCTCTTGCTCTGCCTTCTCAGTCTTGTCCACATCGTCGATCTTGTCGAAATTTCCAAAACTGGACCTTCGTTCCCGAATTTCTCTCATTTCCTCGTCCTTCTCCAAAAAGTTACACGCGCTAACCCTTCTCTCCCTCAAAAGAGACTTGCCCATGGACAAGTTAGGCCTGACCTCGGTCCTGTCGAAGTGATAAGCACTGCCAATTCGATCTCTCTGCAACGGACGCGCTAACACATCCATTCTGTCGAACTGGCAGATACTCATCCCTCTTTCTCGTTGCAGAGGTCTGGCGAGGACATCCATTCTATCGAACTGGCAGATGCTCATGCCCCTGTCTCTTCGGCAGGGTCTCGGAGACGTGTCCAGGTGACAAATGCTCATCCCTCGGTCACGGAAGTTCGGCCTGTCGAATTGACAAGCGCTCATCCCTCGATCTCTGAATTTCATCTTGTCGAATTGACAGACGCTGGTCCTACGGCTCTGGTCCCTTTGCAACAGTTTCGTCGACTCGTTGGCAGGTCTCAGACTCTTTAGGATATCCTGTTCGCTGTCCAAATTTTTCCCGGTTAGAATAACTGACTGCAGATCTAGGGCGCTCTTCGTGCGTCGCATTTGGCCGCTCGGCGTAAAACCAAAACTAGACCCGGTGAACACGCTGTTCTGCCTCGGCCGAGTTTGACCGGTGACGTTGGTCAACTCGCCCGGTGGATAGTCGCACAGGATGTTGCATTTCGAGTAGGTTCTACGGTTCTGTGAACAAATTCGCATCGTCCATTCACAGGCGACATCACCGACTCATAAAACAACTTACTGTATTATTATAAATCCGAAAACTGACATACTTTCACCAAACCCGAAGTGAAATATTATTTTATAAAATAGAATCGATTTCAAATCACGAAGAGAATTGATTATACAAAATTATCTAATTAATAAAAATCAGCTTTTTTATCTCCTTAAAAAATATTTTCCTATTTCTATTTCGTTAATTATCGTGTCTACAGCTATTCGTCTAGTTTGAACACCGGTTTGTCTAATGATTCATGGATTGTTAGCTAATCACGGACAGAAACGTAAATTATTAAAATCCTCGCAGCATCCGTTTCGCTCGATACGCACACTCTCGCCTGACGCCCTGTGCATGTCCCCGGAGAGCTTGCACGGTACATTTACTCGAGCGAGTAAGTGCCACGCGATGAGTTATGTAGCACACATCCCTTTCCCGGTTTTCAGTTGAATACCGACTCCGGTCCGAACGATTGCATACGTATAGCTGGCCCCTGCCTGCGGTTTATGTTCCTAGCTTATCAGCGCTTTTCGCGTAGCTCGCAATTTTCTTTATGTGCGCCAAACAGCGTAACATGCCAAATATCCAATTACCATATGCGCGTGGAAAATGAATAAAAACTGAGATCAACATTTCTTTCCATATTAAACTGCGGATTTCTGCACGAAATGAAATATTCGTGGTCTCAGTTGGACAAAATTTGAGATTTTTATATTATTGTAGTCTAATTATTATTGTTAGACAAAAGATTTGAACAATATTTCTAAGAAACATTGAATAATTATTAGGACACGTTGCATTTTCCTATTTAATTATGAAATAGGTTGAAAAGTGTAATTCCCGGTGTGCGAAGTTTAGACAAGAAACTGTGAAGAATAAATTTTAGCACTTGTATTATATCGGATTTTTTATGGGACGATATTTCGAGGGACAAAAGCGTTAGTAATGACAGAAAGGAAAAGTCGAGTGAAAGGAAAATCGTACGTTTTCTACAAGCGCGGATGGAAACCGTGCAGAAACCACCGCCCATGTTCTTATATCTCAGGGTCGTATATATTGGAAAAAGTCCTGACCTGACGTGAAAACTCCTGATTGGAGGTCGAAGAATTGACCTATCCTACATAATTCCTGGTCCTGTCCCAATCATGGATTGGGTCAGGATTGATTCCACTTCCTTAATTTGTCAAATTTTCATTGTTCGATTCAATATTTCTCATAGTGAATGAAATTCGTAATTATTGCAAACGTTTAATCATTAATATATCCAATCTTTTTTAAT